CACTTGCCCTATACATATAATCTATCAGCAAGTCTTGTTGACTCTACTTTCTGAAAATATCTTGAGTCTGTTCACTTCTATCCATCTCCATTGGGTGGATATTCAATCAACTACAATATACCAGTTTCCCACCCACCTGTCTGGCTTCACTTCATCCACTTTTTCCCTTTCATTCATTCACAGAGCAACCAGAGGGATCTCTTCAAAATGCTATTAGGATCGCAGTATTCCTCTGTTTCAAACCCTTTTGGCATGCTACATCAAGTATGGAACTTAAAGACATTATGCTAAGTAAAATAAGCCAGGCACGGAAGGACAAAAATTGTATGATTCCACTTATGTGAGAACAGAAGAGTCCAATTCCTAGACAGAAAGCAGAATGGTGGTTCCTAGGGGATGAGGGAGGGAGAGGTGGGGGGTTAGTGTTTAATGGGTACCAAGTTTCAGTTTGGGATGATAGAAAAGTTCTGGAGATAGTGGTAATGGTTGTACACGATGTGAGTGTACTTAAAGCCACTGAATACCTTTAAAGTGGTTGAAGTGGTAATTTTTGTATTATATATATTTTACCTCAATAAAAAACCCTGTGGTTGTCCATTGCTGTATGGTAAGGACTGCAGTGCTTGACACCACCCAGAAGGCCTGATGTGGTCGCTACACTGGCTGCCTTTTCAATCTTCAAAGCCACTGAGTTTCCCTCTTACTTCAAACCTCCCCTCTAATGTTCCCTCCCCTGGAATGCAATGCTCCCCTTTTCACTAGACCACTCCTCCTCCTCCTTCCAGTCCTCAGCTTATGCATCTTCCTCCACAATATTTTCCCTGACTCGCTCCAATGATAGACCCTCCTACTTACGTTCTTACATCACCTGTACTTCCTTGCAGCACTATCACGATTACAATTTATTACTCATTATCCATTCCCTTCAATATATAGCAAGCTCTGTGAGACCGAAGACCATTCTGACTTGTTAACCTATCACTTTTTAAAGAGCTGGTGCTTTGTAGGAGTTCAAAACATATTTGTAGAGTGAACATGAATGAACCAATTTGTGAATACACGAATACTAGTTAAAGTTTAGGGATAACTTAATGAATTTAAAATTACTGCTTAAAAGTACTAAAAAGAAATAAATAATGCATTTTTACTTAACAGCACAATACAAATTCCCTATAGAAAACATGGAAAAATTTTAAAAAACCATAAAGGAAATAAAAATTACCCTATTTCACAAACCAGAGGTAATTGTTATATATGTTGATATATTTCCTTCTAGTCCTTTGCATGTGTATGTTTCATAAAGAAATAAAACTATCAGCCCTGGCTGATGTAGCTCAGTGGATTGAACACAGGTGTGCGAACCAAAGGGTCACCAGTTCAATCCCTACTCAGGGCACATGCCTGGGTTGTGGGCCAGGTCCCCAGCAGGGGATGTGTGAGAAGCAGCCCACACATTGATGTTTCTCTCCCTCTCTTTTGCTTTCCCTTCCCCTTTCTCTAAAAATAAATATATAAAATCTTTAAAAAAACACTCAAGTAGGAAACGATATATATAATTTTAGTTTTTTATTTATGTTATACTATTTAGTTAAGCCCATGTTATAAGTAATTCTAAGTAAGAGTTATCTTTTGATAAATCTTTGACTGCATCTTGGGTTTTTATTAGTATTAATTAATGAAAGTAGATAAACTGTATGAACATGAAAAAATATGAAATCAGGTAACAGGTGAAAGGATTACACATCTCACAATAATCTAACTGTGCAACAAAGACAACTTACTTTTAAAATAACAACTTATGTTTTCAAAATGCCCTTCTGCTCTGGTAGCAGAGACTTAGATTTCTGTGAGTAGATATACATCTCAGTCCACAGTTAGATGTTTGGGAAATAATATTCATTTTTCTAAAATGCATCTTGATTTCTACTTCATTTGGCTGAGATAGCCCATCTGCGGCTATCATTAGGTATAGTTAGTTCATACAGTGCCAAAGCATTGGAGAAAAAGAATACCTGCCCTTTGGTACCAAATGTCTGTGGAGGCACACAGTCATCCAGTCTTATTTTTGGTCTGCCCTGTCAACAATTCTCATTTCTCTTTCTATGAGCTCTTCTGGTGCAGTGGTGGCTTCTTTCCTACTTCAGTGTCACCCACCAGGGAACAGGACTCATTCTGCTGCTTTTTTCCAACGCTACAACTTGGAAATATCTGAAGTCAGTTTTGAGTGCAGGTAGAACCTGTGAACACAACGAGATCTTGCTCCCATAACTGCCGCATTACATGGCAAAGGGAGATTTTCCAGCTGTGTCTAATCCAATTACACAAGAGTTTCCTCTGGCTGATGGCAGAAGAGGGAGTCAGAGATTGCAGCCATAAGAAGGACTTGATGCAGGTGGTCTCTAGGAGCAGAGAGCAGATCCTGGTTGACAGCCAGCAAGGAAACAGAGACCTCTGACCCACAGTGGCAAGGAAATGGATCCTGCCCACAAACTGGATGAGGCTGGGAGCAGAGCCCATTCTAGCTGACACCTTGATTTCAGTTTTGGTACACACACACACACACACACACACACACACACACACACACACACACACACACAGCATTCAACCCAGCCAAACACATACAGACTTCTGACTTACAGAACTGTAATAATGACAGGGTGTTATTTTAAACCACTGAGTCGGGGGCAATTTGTTACACATCAAGATAAATAATACAAGGAGATTGCATGGTTAGGCATGGTTACCAGGCCACGAGGACCCAGGGGACCGCTTGCTGAGCCAAGATCATTAGACCTGTCCAGTTAACTCATAAAATCATGAATAATAAAAACGATAAATGATTGCCTCAAGCTACTAAATTTGAGCAGTTTGTTATGTAGTTAAAGCTAATTGTTACAATTTCTGAGGTGAGAGACTTATGGAATAATTCCTCTTGAAAAGTCCCATCCTAATTCTGAAGGAAATGAGGAATATAGAAAGAGCATGAGATTTGAATTTGAGCCCATCACTCTATAATAATGAGTTATTGCCCTGGCTGGTGTGGCTCAGTTGGTTGCAGTGTTGTCCCATAGCTGAAGGGTTGTGGGTTCAATTCCTGCTCAGGACACATGCCAAGGTTGTGGTCTGATCCCCAGATCAGACACATAGAGGAGGCAACAAATCAATGTTTCTCTCACATTGATATCTCTTTCTCTCCTTTTCTCTCTTCCTTTCTCTAAAAGCAATGGAAAAAATGTCCTCCGGTGAGGATAATGATAAAGTTACCATTTGTTGAGTATTTATTAGCACTGTGTTAGGAGCTCTATATTCGGGAGCTAATTTGATCCATGCAGCTCCATGAGACAGGTCTTTCTAAGACTCAGTGACGCAATGCTGTATTTTCATTTTGTGCAGTTAGGTAACTTTGATTACATTCACCATTTTATCAATTCTCTAGCCTATAAAATGAGCTGATTATAGTACTTAATTCACAGGTGATACTCTATAAGCTTTATGAAATTTTGTGTAAATATTGGAAATCCTTACCAGCAGTCCAGGATTCAGCTTTCACGTGTTATTTGCCCTGGAACTCATCTATCATGACTGTGTCAAAGCCTACCGATATTGACATGGCACCTACATCAGCATCTATGTCAACACTTGATTGCTGAGTCAGTGGTCCTGCAGGTCTGCAGCCCCCCTGCTTGGTCAAGATACAGCAATTAACCACTGAAAGGGCACAACTATAATCACATTCACAGATTAACAGTAAGTTCTGGTTTTGGAATTGGGGTTGGGGATCTAATGTTTTTTGAGGGCCTCTCTTTCAGGTACCATGCCAAGTGATTTACTTACATCAGCTGATAATGACTGAATCTGTTTGGACTGGATATGGGTAATAAGTGTATCAGGTGATTCTACCAGGTATTCACTATTGAGAACCATTGACATACAAAACCCCAGTGGTTCTTGCAGAAATCCTCTCAGGTTTTGTGTGCATTATAGTAAAGAAATGGATGCCCACAGATATTAACAGGTCTGTTTTTTTCCCACTGCACCATAATGACACACTTCTCAAGTAGGGGAGACAGTCACTGTCACCAAATCAAGGGAGGTGCTGAGCTCGGGGTTCCTACTAAATATTGGAGTCCCTCTCCTTGGCTCAGTCTCTTACAGGAATCCTTTCTAGCCACCTCAGTCCTCCTTGATCTCTTCACCAAATTTCTATTACATGGATAACTGGTGGGTTCTGACCGTTAATTGTCTTCAGCCTTATCTTATATTTTGTACCCATGTTTATCAAGGCCTCCCTGTCCATCGATTTCCTAGTTATCAAATCTGGTGACAACCGCAGCCAAATGTCATGGTAAGAGCTCTGGTTTTGGAGCCACGCCCACGTGAGTTGGCCTCCTGCCTGTACTTTCATCTGTATGGCCTTGACGAGCCATTCTATTTTTTGAATCTCGGTTTTGTAAGCATAAAACGGGGGGGGGGGGTCAAGGGAGAAGCCTGTACTTTAGGAAGGATTAGAAACATATTCGGTAAACCTTAGTTATTAGTATACTACCCTAACCAGTGGAAGTAAAGTTACATGGACGAGTTAGACCTTCAGAGGTGACTCATTTTTCTAACACATATCCTAATTATTTGGAGAGAGAATGAAAGAATAAGGAGTCAAAATCTAGCTGAGGCTAGCACTTTTGTCTCTCAGAACAGGTTTCCAGATAATTACTTACATATGATATTCTAGCCAAACCACAAAAAATCGCTATGCTCTGTATTTTTCTCACCTTGCCTCAAGTTGTCCTTATGACCCTGTCCCTACCCCAAGTTCTGCCCTTCCATTTATGGGAGGAGTTGAGGGTTTCATTTTGTACTGGTTTGGTAGGGGTGCAGTGGGGGTGTTAGGGTAAATCAGAGAGGCTCCACCCACCTCTAATGAAGCCTGGAAGCGGCAGAGGGAGGGCCCTGTCCCCTGTCCCTTTAAGAAGGGCCAAGCGCGGCCAGGAGAGCCAACTTTGCCCCGACCCCGCCTGCATCGTCACCCCAGAACAGCTGCCGCCAGAGCTCCGGCCGCCCCTCGGTGAGCAGAGTCCGCTCCGGCTCCAGGAAGCAAGTCGCCAACATGGTGAAGATCGTGACAGTTAAGACCAAAGCGTACCCGGACCAGAAACCGGGCACTAGCGGGCTGCGGAAGCGGGTGAAGGTGTTCCAGAGCAGCGCCAACTACGCGGAGAATTTCATCCAGAGTATCATCTCCACGGTGGAGCCAGCGCAGCGGCAGGAGGCCACCCTGGTGGTGGGCGGGGACGGCAGGTTCTACATGAAGGAGGCCATTCAGCTCATCGCCCGCATCGCCGCCGCCAATGGGGTAAGGCGCGCGCCGGCTCCCCGCAGCGCGCTCCCGGCGCGGGGCGTGCGCTACGTGCGGCCGCCGTCTTCCCCGTACCCGCCTCGGTCGTGCTTCCTCCCGCCTGTTCCGTGCGCTGCCGCCCCAGTCTCCACCCCCAGCCGCTTGGCGCTCGCTCCTGCTGGCTTTGAGGGCCGGACGGGGTCGCCGTCTGTGGGGAAGTGGCCACTCTTTCCCCCGGAGCTGCTTCCCCGTCTCCCTGCCGGCTGGGAGGAGCGGGTTGGGGAGCCTGCCTCCGCCTCCCGCCCCTCCCCTCTCCCCTCCCGGGGCCTCTGACATTTACTTGAACCTTTCCCGACTGAAGATACAGTTACAGAGCGGAGTGCAGTCGCCTTAACCCAGAAAGGTTAGAGGCCGCCGCCTTGCTCAGAACCCCTCGCCTGCACCCCCGGTTGCCTTCTGTTCTGGTCTGGGACTGGCGTGGGGCGCGGTGGTGGGAGGCCCGGCCCCCTGGAGTGTCAGACCTGCGAGCCCGGAGAGGGTTAAGTCTCCTTCCCCACCCCTCGGTTTGCATTGGGACGGAGCTCTTGCCCTTGCGCGGCTTGGTTGCTGGGGAGCAGGGGTTTGAAAAGGTTAGTAGTAGTCTTTGCCCAGCGGTGTTTATGGATCTGTTCCACAGAGGGGGCTGGAGCTGAATTCTCATTGGAACAGAAACTGCATAGCCCGGGGTGCTCTTGGGCAAGCGGTGGTGGCCTGCCAGGAAGTTAATGCAACACTTTGGGTCTCTTCCCCGCCCAAGGAACGTTAACTCACTTAATGGGCAGGTTCAGTCGGGTGGGGAAAACTTTGAAATAGATTTTGCAGTAAACCTGATATACGAAAAAATGCATTTATGAAATAGGTAAATGGGAGCTGATTGTTCACTCACTTTTTTTTTTGAAGATTTTAATTTATTTATCTTTAGAGGGGAAGGGAAGGAGAGAGGGAGAGAAATATCAATGTATGGTTGCCTCTCATATGTTCCCTGCCGGGAACTGGCCTGCAACCCAGGCATGTGCCCTGACTGGGAATCGAACCGCTGTACTTTGGTCTGCAGGCCTGCGCTCAATCCACTGAGCTACACCAGCCAGGGCTTCACTCACTTTTATAAAATGTTTTCTAACGAGTTTTTCTAAAGAACAAGTTTTCTATACTTAAAAGAAGGTTTGACCTTTATCAACGCTTCTGAAACTCGTTCCCTTTAATAATATTTTAATTCACTAAAATAGTACTTTATTTATCTTATTTTAACGTATTGAGTGCCATTTTGCCAAACACCCTGAGAAGCCCTTGTGGAATTTCACTTAACCCACTGCAGCCCTGTGAGGTAGGTGCTTACTATGAGCATCTTCAAGTTGCCGGGGAGGGTAGGGGAGCTCAGGCAAGATAAATAGTTGGCAGGAACGGTCATGGCAGCACTGAGAATGCAGTACAGAACCCTAACAGCTTCTGGGAATGAAGAGACCCTTAAATCTAAAGATCTGTTCTTCAGGGGTCTCCAAAATATAAGTTGAACCTAATCTACATCTGCCTCCGTGGGTCAAACATTGCCTGGATTTGTTTTCTTCATGCTCCTGAGTTTTCAGACAACCTCAGATTCTCTTGAAAGAACAAACTAGTTATATCCCAGTAGATCCCTTTATGTTCTTATCATTTGTGGTGAATTTGCACTTTATTCACTTGTTCAACAAACACTGAGCCGTGAACTGAGAAATGTGTGGAATAAAAAGGCGATTCAGACCCAGGGCTCATCCTTAAAAGCTTATAGCATAGCAAGAATTTGGGGGTTCCAAAGGAAAATGGTCTATTTGGCAGTTGTGTGTGGTGGGAAGGAAACAGTTAAGACAAAAAATTTGCGCCTGAACCTTACCACCTTTTCGCAACTGTTCCATTGCTTTCTCCCTTTTGGCCAGTCTTTGTAAAACTTTTCTGCGTTCACCATCATTGATTTCTTACCTCCCCCACTTCCATCTGACTCTGCTTCCCCCACCACTCTACTAAAATTTGTCTAGCCGGGTTACCACTGACTTTCTGGTTACTAAATCCATTGACCACATTTTAGGCCTTATCTTCTCCGAGTTTCCTGTTGCATTTGTCACTGCTGACCTTGTATTCTTTTAGCATTCTCATTTCTTTTTCTTGACCATTCTCTCCTGATTCTACTCACACTTTTTAAGTTTCTTCCTGGACTGCTTGCCCTACCCACACCCTAGCTATTCTCTAGGTTTCTGTCCTCAGCTTGCTGCTCTCTGATTTTATTTTCTCTCTCTGTCTGTCTCTTTGTGTCTTGTCTGTCTGTCTGTCTGTCTCTCCTTACCATGGATTTTCTTCTGGTATGGTTAAATTCAGATAGCATCTTCAGAAACGTTTCCCCAACAACCCCTCAGTGCCCTCTCCTCCCATTAAGTGATCTTTTCCCATAGGCCTATAATTCTATAATACACTAATTAAACCTAGTGAAATTTTCTGTTTGCATGTGACACTCCCCAACTGGAGAGTGTCTGGAGAAAGCCTTCCTTAAGATAGATCTATGTTTTATCTGTATCTGCAGTACCTAGGACCACGTAGCATTCAATGAGTCCTTGTTCAGTTGCCTTGAATTGTGAAGTGTACTCCATTGAACATTTATTATGTGCTGATTTCATATCAGACATTGTGCTAAGTACTTGGCATACAAAATATTCTCGCCCTCAGCAAATGTGTAGTCTAGAAGGGGAGGTAGACAATAAGCAGACTGTACAGTGTGTTTGGGGTTATGATGGAGGTACGTGCCAGGTTCTGAAGGGGCAGGACCACAGAGGGGCAGGACCACAGAGGACCCCACTTGGGAGAGAAGACTAAGTGAGGAAGGCTTCACAGAAGGGTGGTAGCTGAACTTAGTTGGAGTTGCCAAGGCAGAGGAATTCTAGGCAGAATAAAAATCAGAGGAGTTGAGGATGGTTCTCTTGGGCAAGTTATTTACTTTCTGATTTTATTTCCCTTACATGTGAAGGTTGGGAGTGGTAGTACATACCCAGAGTGGCTCTTGTCAGGATCAGATGAAACAGTGCATTTAAAAGAACATGGCTGCTCCTTCTCACCTGGAAGCTGTTTGGATGACATGTATGAAGAAACCTCTGGTTGGACCTGGGGACAGGACTTTAGGCCATCAGCGTTCTGCTGATATGGGGACACTGAGTCAGCCAACTCAACCCGATGCAGATACTAACACTTCCCCCACCCCCACCACCCAGAGCTGTCAGCATGGTCTCCCCCGCCCCGCCTCTAACCCTCATTGGTTCCAGTATAGGGGGATTCATGGTGGTCAGAACCCGATTGGGTACAAGTGGCAAAAACATAACTTGGATTAGGCCAACTGAAAAAGGAGTTTATTGGCTCCCGTTACTGAAAACTCTAAGAAGATTCCTATTGCAGACTCCCTGGTTCAAAGCATTCCTGGTCTCAAAATCACTCTTGGGCCCAGTGATCTGCAAATGACCAGTGTTAGCATTTGGGGAAAGTTCAAATTCATGAGTAAATGGAAGTTTAGATATTTTGAAGGATAGTTTATCATCTTCAGCAAAATAAAATAAATGCCCTTATGGGAACTTGTGAAGAAGCATGTTTTCTTCCATCAGTTCACAGGGATTCTTGTGTCACAGGTTCCTTTGTTAAACCTAGGGACCCCTCCTCAGAATCATTTCACTTAAAAAAATACAAAGGATTGCAAAGGAAATAAAATTATATTGAAATACGATTAGTAAAATATTAACCAAATTTGTAACATAGCAAGATATAGTCTTTGTTATTGATATACTAAATAACAAGATTCAGTGGAGGGTCTAGTATTGTCTTACTTTAGAGTAGTGATAAGTGCAAATGGCATTTTGAGATAATTGTGCTATGAAATGAAAATTGTGATTTCTGCTGATGATTAAGTCCCAGGTAGCAGTAGTATCAGCAGTGGTAATAATAATAAAAATTAAAAGAAATAATAAAGGCTGTGGTTTGTTACCTACGTTCATAACTAAAGGAAATGCTACATTATGTTTAGAGGTTAGTACAAATAAAGATGTTTTGGTTTGTTTTGCCTTTCAAATTAATTTACCCCATTACATCCCATCCGAGGACCTCGTGGGCCTAAGGAGTCAGAGTTAAGGACCCCAGCACTAAACAAATGATTCCCTTTTGGTGTCAGGTATTCGCACCAAATGGGTATTAAATACATGACCCAGAGGTTAAAGGTCTCGGGTTCTCAGACCAAACCACTGGGGCTTTGAGAACTTCATCTTAAGTGCAAGAACTTCCACTATGTCCCATTTGGCTTGGATCACTCTCTTCTGAACGCTCATGAGGCCCAGCTGCAGACACGGGTGAAAGGACATGTGTAGTTCTGAGAAGGAAATGACAGAACACCCAGCACGAGGGAGGATGGTCTGGGGCCCGGAGGTCATCGTTCTTAGGCGGAGGCCTCTTTTTTTTTTCATACTTAAAATCTGATATCCTTTGGGCAGGGATGACTTGGCAGAGAAACATCTTTGGATCCCTTTTTAACATGCTGTAACTCCCATGTTTAAAAAAAAAGTTCTTTAATTACAATGGGCTTATGAATGGTTGTTCTCCCCTTGTGTATGCTTTCTGATGTTGAACCGGCATTCAGTACAGGATGAGTAAGATACTGTCTTTTTACATCCAGGAATGTGCAGTCTCTTGGGGGAGATACAACACAAGAAATACACATGTAAAGAGAAGAATTAGAGAAAGTGCAAATAAGGGAGAAAACATTCTGACCCGGGGAAAGAAGAGATGGAAATCGAATTGTGTCTTGAAGAGTAGACAGTGTACAAACAGAAGGACCACAGCCCAGGAGGGGGACACAGCAGAAAGGCAAAGTGTCTTGAAGAACAGACAGGACTACTTTTTAGAGCTGGGCACTTAGCCACTAATCTTTGTCATGTGAAATATTTAAGTAAAATTTAAGAGTTTCTCTTTCTTGGCTTCAC